ACTGATCTTGTGGGTTTCCAGAACCCTATCTATCACCCTGGTCATTGCCCGGTGGGTGGGAAGGCACCTGCGTCTCGCCCGAGGGAAATCGGTTGTGTTTCATGCCAGCCTGGGCCACATGTCGGTCGAGCTTCGTGGGGTTTGTCAACACTTGGCACAGCTTTCACGCCTCGCGACCCTCGGCACTTCGGCACCGGGTTTGCTCACTTTGTGTAACAGAGTGGGCTTCAGGCGGGTTTGAGATGAATTTCTGGGCTTTTGAATTAGGCTCGTGTAGGCTCGGGCTTGCTTCAGTGGGGCTCCAAGGTGGGCTTAGGCTGGATTTGGGCTGAGTAAGGGTGGGTTTACGTAGATGTAGGTGGACGTTGGACACGACTTGGGTCGGTTGGGCCGTTTTTGGGGCTTCGGATAGTTTTGTGGGAGCAGGCTGATGTTATTAGGATAAATTTGGACTTCGGACGAAGGCAGGGTTCAGGGTGAACTGAGACTGGGTCTGGTGTTCAGGGTAGGTACATGTCTGTGTGAGGTGGTGTACAGGTAGGTTGACAATTCAGGTTGTGTTTAGGTAGGTTTAGGGCGGATCTAAATTTGGTTGGGAGGGGGGGGGGGATTGGCGTGGCCCATAATTGGGAGTAGGAAGCAGTATCGGGTGGGTTCGGAGTCAACATACGGCGGATTTAGGATGCCTTCAGGGTGGTCTTGGGACCTAAGACCAAAATTCAACCCATCACTGTTTTGAATCTGCTTAATGAGCTGCTTGTACATGCTACGTGACTTGTGATACCTAATACAGTATCGAGCTGGGCAAGAAATGATGCGCGCCTTCGCAAAGTTTGGCCATGGATGTAGTGTTTCCCCTTGGTTGCTCTTAGGAACGCGATTGCCCTTGCCAGGCTCCCTCCCCGCCAGTAAGCCCCCAAGAAATTGAGTGACAACCTGGCTGAGCCAAATCCGGCTGAGAGGTTGAAGGTGAACATTTGGCCCGTGAAACGTGCAGGTGGTCGACAGAATTACAAGTTCGCAAGTGCACGACCGCTTCATCACTCATAGCTGACAGCGCCGAAACCAGTTTCAATAGTTCCAACTTGCTGTTCCGTGGAATGTAGCGCTGCACTCCTCAAGTTTTACACTTCGCTTGAATGCGCCACAGCCCAAGCTGCGAGAGATAGCAGGACTGCGGGATCATATGGCAGTCTTCCACATCCGAGGACTCCTCAAAGCGTGCCAGCACCGCACGCACCCAGCCGTTGAACATCTGGCAGCTGGGGGGGAACTCCTTGACCACGCCGTACTTTTTATAGTACACGTCAAACCTTGGCCAGCTGGGCTGCAGAAACCGGCTACCCGCCATGGGGCAACACATTAGCGGACACCCCCTTGAAAAGGACACCCCTCTTCTTTGGGTTGCTAGTTCTAGGTTTTTCAGTAGAGAAGTTGGAATAAGGGTACCCTTTTTTTCTGTAGTCTATTTTAGTAGGGGAACCCTCCCCCGAAACTGGGTAAAAGGGCGCTACTGGGGGACCTAGATTTTCTCATTTTTAGGGGAGTTCTTGTCCTTCGCGGATTGGAACGGATCGGGCGCTGGCTTGAAGAGTTGCCCTGGGATCGGCGAAAGAACAATAAACATGACACATTACTAATAACAATACTAGTCAACAACTAAAGGGAACCTATTTTCATCTGGGACCGGGATGGATCGCAACTCCAGGCGCCCGGGCCAGGCCAACTTTCTGCCCCAGGTGAACTCGGAGGCCAGGCGCTCGCAGGGCTCCCGGACGATTGCGAAGCTGTGGGCCACGTGGCGCTGCGGGGGGTTGTGCTTCATGCACGCGAAGGGCACCTCCGGATACCTCGGATTTTTTTTTTTTTTTTTTTTTTTTTTCCGGATGGAACCAGCTGAGTTGGGTGGAACCAATGGTGGGTTGATTTTTTTTCATACCTCGGAAGTTTTCGGTGGAACCTGAGTTGGATGGAAATGTCTGGTGGGTCTATAGTGGAATGGCTGGAACCAACTGAGTTTGGATGGAGTTGGATGGAACCAATTTCGTTTTGCTGTGGGGAACCCTGATTTGGGTGGGTAGGATGAAACGCTTTGTTTCTCGCGGGGTTTGGACCTCGAAAAGCGTCCTGGCATCATATTCGGTTCAGCAGAACCCTGTTTTCTGGGTCTACAGAAACCACAAAGGAGCAACCCACACACACACACACTGTTTTGGTTATGTCTCCAGGTCTGGCAAAAGGGGGAAGTGGAAAAGGGAAACAAGTTGAACACATCATGCTTGAAGGACAAGCAACAGGATAGTTCACCCAAGTATCATTTTGGGAGGTCCGCACATGTACTCTTTGGAGTCTCAGTAGGCAGCTCCAGTGTTTTTTCGGGAGGCTCTAGGGGACAACCTTGAGGATGTGAAGGGAAACCCAAAGTACCTATTCTCGGCTAAGTTGCGGCTAGAGTTTGGCACAGACATCTTTTGCCGACTGATTGGGGCTGCTCAGCGAAGGGGAGGCCTACGCATATTGAGCAATGCTTTTGGATGGCAGTGGAACACACACATGAAGCCATATTATGTTTGTCTGGTCGCCATATTAATGGTTCTTGACATATTACCCCGAACACATGCGACTAATAAATATCAAGAGATGTTGGGAATGCCCTCGCCTGCCAGAGTCGGAGTAGGTAGGGCCCAGCGCCTCCCAAATGGAGGTCCCCGCTGTCTTCGGCACCTTGGTTGAACAAGCCGCAAAAAGCCAATTGCACGGGGATTTCTCTTAAGTCAGCAAAAGAACAAGGCCATGTAATATGTGTTTCTAAAACCACCCACCCGAAAAAAAAGAGAGGAAAAAACAAAAAAAAACAACAAAACAAAAACAACAACAAACTAAAGCTGTACGTGTTCTTCCACCTAAACAACAGTTTTGCCACTTAAACAGCAAGTTTTGCTATGGTCTTTCGATATGGGCATGTTTCAAAGATACGGGAGCCAACAAAATGGTTGGCTTCCTTTTGGTTTCCCGTTGACACCGTGCACAAATGCTACCACCCACAAAAAGACACAGCCATACGGACAGACCCGCAGCGGCACGTGCACGAAGACCGGCGCGGAGGCGTTCGCGTTCGCGTCGCCCTCGCGGCGAAGAAGCTGCCCAGACAACGGACCTGAGCCGGAGCTGGTGGTTGGCATATCCAACTGCTCAACATCAGAAAAGGCAAGCTACACAAACGGAAAGACGAAAGAAAGGGAGAAACAAAGAAACAACACGCGGTTTGAAATCTTTGCAAGATGGAGGCCCTGGAAACCAATTCGAGTGAATATGGCTGTCAAATGGCAGCTAAAGAACAACACACCGACGTATGCCTTATTCTTGGTCAAAACGAAGGGGCCTCTTTGCAGTGCGCACATGACAAACGACGCTTGGCGAAGAAGAAGAAGATGAAGAAGAAGAAGGGAAGCTTGCGGGCTTATCGGCCGCCATTCTTTGATGAGCCCAGGACCAAGCTAAAACGCTCCATAGCTGCACTTACAACCTTTTGTGACACATGTCTTTCAAGCAATGAGTAGCGCTGAAAGTTCATAGATTTGCCCAGATGATCCTGAGGCCGAACTAGAATCCTTGTGAAGCCAGAGAGATAAATAGGAAGCCGTATCTCTAATCTGGCTTTTATTGGCGTCAACATGTTTCCCGAGGTTCCTAACAATTCTCACATGGATTGTAAGATATTAGTAAACATATTTGTTGTGCCCTTCAAACAATTGCATTCTCTCCCAACTCTACCAGTTTCGATAAGGTCCCAATCAGCTCTGGTCGGCCCTGTCTTACACCCACGGGGTTCTGTGGGCTGATCCATGTAATCCCCTGTAAACAGCAGGATTTTGGTAAATGAGAAACCAGGAAACATATCTTGTGTTTGACAGCAGTCGTAGCCGCACCCAGCGTGAGAGGGGAGAGACCCATAGAGAAACCATTGCGAGTTACGTCCTTCCGGAGGAATCCATATGCTCGGCTCATCTTGTTTCGAGGTACAATTTGTTTGGTGGTTTCAAAGAGAAACCAACAGCAACCCCACCCATTTTGCGGATCCCCCCCAACAAAAAAACAACACACCCATCTGGGAGGGGTGACCCACCTTTGAGCGTCCAGGGGGCCATGGTCATTCCAAGCCCACGCTCCCCAGAGCGAAAGCGCCAACAGCCTCATGGCTGGAAGCTCCTGACATAGCGAGCCTGTGAGCCAAAGTTGTGACCCCGGCACCTGGGTCTGTGTGTGTGTGTGTGCGTGTCCCACTGGAAAATTCGAACAAAACTTGGGGACAAACCAAACCAAATGCTGCTTTGAAGGGAAACTAAACAGACACTGCTTTTGTTTTGGAGGCCCTGATTCTTGGACACACCTGAATGGAGCAAATGATCTGGACACATGTCAAACTAAGGACAATTTTCCCAATGGCTGGTTTGCCTTTGGATTTGTATGAACCATCTGGCCTCAATCCTCAAAAAGGCAAATCCATCTACAGTCCGGCAACTGTCTCGCCAACACAGCTGTCATTGGGACTCGAAAGGTTCATCCCCTTTCCTGACCGCACAACACAAACATTCCCCTACGGAGTGTAGCATCTGTTGCGTGAATAATGATAACTCACCAACGCAAAACATGGAAAACATAATGCATGTGAAGCTATGATTTGCCTAAACAGTTGATGAGGCAGCTACATTTCCCTCGAAACAGGCAGCCTTACTCTTCACATTCTTCACATGGAAGTACAGGTAAGCCTGCTCTATTTTTTATAAGCAAACACAAGAACTTATGACACACAGTTTTGAACCATGCAACGCCAAAATAGTGCCTAACCAACAGCCAACACAAACCCTCCGGTCAGAAACCGGCAGCTGCCCATCTTTTGTGTTTGTCTTGGCAGGCAAAAACCTTCAGTAACAAATCATACTGACTGCTGTTCTTTGACCTACCCAAGTCCAACGCAACGTCACTGCCAGATCGGTCACCGGAACGGGTGGGCTTCCACCTCCCGGGGCGTCTCTGGCAAGCTGACCGAGAACCTCGGGGTCTCACGCGCTGGGCCCGCGAAAACGCGCCGGCTGGGACGAAGGGTCAAGCGCCCTCGGTTTTGGGCTGAGGGTAACGTAAATCAGGGGTAGGGGGCCATCTTGGATGGGAGGTTGGGTGCGGCCTACCCCACAGTCTTGGATTTTTCTTGCGGAGTTGATCCGTTGTGTGAGGCCTCCTCCGGCTGGTATGGTCCTTCACATTCACCCGAAGTCAAAATTAGTGGCTAGCAGTTGTGAACACGCGCGAAGGAGCTTACCTTAGCACACCTGAGTTGTCATTTGACAGGCCCGGCCAAACTCCCCGCCTGACCATGTCTTCCGCACGAATCAGTTGCCAAACAAGGCAACCTTAAATCAAACACTCGCACGTTGCGAGCTTCAGTCTCACGGCATGAGTAAAACAACATTAAGAGTCGTGGTCTTTTCAAAGATCACCGGAGCTTTCTCCGCTGAGTACCCCAAGCGCGTTCCAATTTCATCACTTTGACATTCAGACCAATGGTCAGAAATCACAGTGCGCAGCGCTCAGTGTCGAGGTGACCTCGACGCTTCTTCCATGACGGCGTCCTGGCTGTGAGCTGAGCCCACACCCTTCGGGTAAATCCGCAACCGGATCATCTGAGCTTTACGAACTGTCGTGACCAAACGTAGTGTATCCAGAGCGCGGCTTGTTCGTCGTTCTTCCTCAAACACCGGCGCGGGTTTCTTTAAGAGAAACAAAATGGGCAGCGCCCCGCCAAGACCAGAACCGACGGAATGGAGAAGTGCGTGGGCAACACCAAGATGGAAACCCAAGGGCATGTATTATCTGGTTGGAAGGCGCCGATCAAAGCCTTTGGGGCAATCCACTTGCGCTCAGCAAAACCACCAGCGCTGCCACTCAGCGGAGGCACGGAAGCAAGCAGATGACCAAGACAGGCAGGAAGGACCGCTGTGAGCCATCTTGGCAAGTAGGGCCGAAGACCGCACGCAGGCGGTGAGGCATGGGGCAGCTGCTCGACTCCACAAACATGAAGTCAAGGGCCAGTCAGGGCTTCGCTTAGCGACAGAGCCCGTAAGGCCTTAGGAGCCACAAGGAAGGTTGGAGGACTAAGCCCCATCTCGCGGGCGCGATGGGTGCCAGTCGCATCCGGCCCAGCAGCCAACAGCAAACGCTGACCGGATGGGACACGAGAAGGCGGTTCTGCGGACCTGGTTTCGGCGTCAGATGAGAAAGGGAAGACAGAGGTACGCGAGACCACACGGAACAGCATGACACGGCACAAAGGCAACAGACTTAGGCAAGGACACGCCAGGCTACGCAGCAAAGGAGCCACGAAATCCAGGATCAGCAAGATCAGCGGTGTCTCGGGCTCCAAGGAATTGCCACTTCAAACAACCCCCACGCAGATTTGCACCGATTTGTTTTCGGCCCGCTTTGCGGAGCTTTTCCGCCCCAGTTTTTCAAGGTTTACGGAATGCTTTTCTGGCTCGGTTTTCCGCCCAGTTTTGCCGAGCTTCTCCGCGCCCAGTTCTTCCGGCCGAGTCTTTCCCGTAGTTTTCCGCAAGTTTTCCGAGCGCCCCCGCCAGACAAAGCTTTGCACCCCGTCCTGCTCTCTATTGCCACACCTAGTTGATGTAGCGGCGTTTGGGGGCTGACAGTCAGTTCTTCGGAGTTTTCTTCTGCCTTAGAACGGCGTATCTGGCCCACGCAGCAGGGACCTGCGCGTGTCTGGCCCCACGCAAACACTCAGACGCGGACCTGCGTGCGTACACGGACAATCAGACACCTGAGCGTGTCACTTGCCCACGCAGGCACTCAGACCCAGACCTCTGCGTGTCAAATCCTACGCGCCGACGCTTGGACAGGGATGCGCGTACACGTAGAAACTCAGGCCCGGATGTGCGCGCATCTGTGCTTGACTGGCTCTAGGAGGCATTGCCCCGCACACACACACACAGACTCAAACCCGAACCTGCGCGTCTCCGAATGGCTCTGGCTGTCACCTGTGTTTGATTCCATCTGGTGCATCTGTGTCTGACTCACTGTGGCATCTGTACTCTTCGTCTTTCCTGGAGCAGCTGGCTTGCAGGCGGATAACTCCACCGAACAACTGGGCAATGTGTCAAAACTGGTGACCCCTCCAAAAAAAGTTTGATAAGTTGCCTTTTGGTTTTGGTTCTCAGCCGTGATGGGAACCGCACCCACTCCCTGTCATGCCTTCACGCTCTCCAAGGCCGTCGCTTCAGCTCGTAGTGGGACGGCAAAGGGAGCTTCACGCGCACCTCGTGTGAAGTTCCGCCGAAAACGAAAACGTAATCGTGGATTGGCTTCGAAACGAAAGCGCCTTGGAACAAAAGACACCTACCAAATGAAAGTCCAAGTCGGCCAACCAAATGAACAAATGGATGTTTAAGTCTGTTTCAAAAGGTACGCGCGCTGACAGAGATCCCGGCATCTGACAAAGCAACAGGTGGCCACACACTTTCGGACCGGGGATGCATAGTAGACGGCAAAGAAGTGTGTGGACAAACATTGCTCATGACCCCCGAATCCAACGATGATGCCGCTGATGATCATGATGATGATGATGATGATGATGATGATGATGATGATGATGATGATGATGATGATGATGATGATGATGATGATAATCATGGTGGTGGTGGTGGTGGTGGTGGTGGTGGTGGTGGTGGTGGTGGTGGTGGTGGTGGTGGTGGTGGTGGTGGTGGTAATGATAACTTCATCAATCCAAGCTGGCTTGCATGAGGCGGATCTTACTGGCACAACTCTTTTCGTAGAAAGAGTATGCAGTATGCAATCGCTCATTCCCTTGTGATAAGTGACGTGCATCATATAAGCAAGCGTGCACGAAACAAACAAGACTCGGATTTGGCCGAGCACCCCGTAGTTTTGGCTCAGGGAGTTGTCTGTGTTTCCGGTCAGGACTGCATGTCTGGCAACTGCGTTTTCTGAAGGGTGGGTGGGTGGGCATTCTTCGACACAGCGGCAGATCGGCTTGCGTTTAGTCTAAAGCTTCTCCTTTTGCTTTGGGGAACGCGGTGGAGTTAATTTTGCGGGCATGCCATGCCAAGTGGACGCAGTGCCATCACCTCGTTTTCCCCACATTGATGCCTGACCCGACTTCCTTCCTGGTGACTGACACGGAGTGTGATCACGGGCTATCATGCGCGCGTGCATGCGTGCGTGTGTCAACACCGGGATCACTCAGCGACGATTAAACAACAAGGAACGCATAATGATTGGTATAGTACCCAAATAACGCATCTAGAAATCCGAACAGGAGGTGTCGCCTTTTTATCCGACACAAAGAAGAAGCTGCCACCTGCAGAAAACAGAGGCATGATCCTGCCATTCTCAAACTACTGCTGTGGCCAAAAGGGACAAGCCTTTGTTGGTGGACGAACACATGGATTTCGCAAATGACACCCCTCATTTTCTTTCTGTGTTTGCCTTTAAAGGGCAACTAGACCACGAAACGGGTTGAACGCGGGTGCAAATTCCATTGGGCAACTGGTTCAATGCTAGTCCAAGCCGAAGGCATTCTCGTGAGCCCCCAAAACAAGGCTGGATATCAAATAGGGGCCTGCACATTACTAGCACCCCCTTGTTGCAGTTTGGGGAAACATGGGTCAACGGAGAACAAAGCTGGATATCAAATAGGGATTACTAGCACCCCCTTGTTGCAGTTTGGGGAAACATGGGTCACCAAGTACCCGCGGCCCTCGTGCTTGCTCAGTGATTTCCCAGGCAACAGTGCATTTTTGAAAGGGGCGGTTCAGGAGAACCAGGAGAAAGCCACCCAGAAGCCGGGCAACTGGAGGTCAGCCGGAAGCAAACGGAAGCCATCGACCACAGGCCAAGGAGGCCCCCGAAACCAAGCTTTCGGGCCAGGAAGATGTGATCCCTCAGCTTCACTGCGTGGCAGGCCCGCAGGACCTGGCAAAGACCACACCTTTTCACCACAGGTCTCCCCCGGTTTTGTAGCTTGAAGGTGAACAGGGCTCTCACCAAGGTCTGTTTTCTGCGAGATCTTCTACCACAACCAGCTGGGGGCCCACCTCTGTAGATAACATCCTGCACTAGTTGGGATGGACGAAGCCCTATGAATATATAACCCACCCCATCCTTGGATATGGATTCAGCACCAATCTTCCATAAAGGGAATCGCTGACGGGAAATCCCGGAATACCTATGGGTCATTCAGAACCCATTGGGAAAATCAATGCAGCCCACCGGCTTCGGCAACCAAATCCGTTGGGCCTTGATCGGTCCCAGAAAAAGAAGAAGGAACAACAAAAAACATAAAACAACAACATGGCCTTCGGCGATTTTTACACATGGCTGATCAGAAGCTAGGCAGGTCTCCCGGCAGAGCCAAAAAAGCGGTGCCTGGTCGGTAATTCATCAGACTGTGCAAGACCGAAATGAGTCAGAAGGCATCTGTGGAATTGACATGAATCTCTTGCATACATGTGAGGCCATTTGTTTCACCTGGCCTCAGTTTCTGACTTTGACTCCCCCCACAACCACTCAAAACAATGACCCCAGATCCATGCTCCAGGTGTTCCTTTGCGACAGACTGAGTGCTTCGATAAGCCCCTCCTCAGTGAACTCCCCGTCGAACCTGGCGCGACGTGTTCATCGGTTTTTGGCGCGTTGCGGGGAGCCGAAGGCTTGATTTCAAGGTTTAAAGGGCCCGCACCAAAGGACAATACGGCTGTGGGTCAAAAATAGGTACCCCAATGGAACTCTGGTAAATGGGCACATGGACTAAAGCCTGCGGATTTTGGTGGTTTAATTTTGACACACAACCATATCTTAGAATCTTCTGAGAGGTTCTTGGGGCTCTGAGAACCTTGATGGGTAAGGGCAGCATGTCCTTCCTGATTCGTTCTTTCCGGGAAATAAACACGTCTCTGGGGCTTCTGGCAATTTGAAAGGGAGGATCCCTGGCCAGAATGGGGCAGGTACGGCTAGACGTTGGGGGCATCGTTTGATCCTTGCAGAGATAAACCACACGTCTAACTCTGCTTCCCCAGAGAAAGAGGTCGGCGGCAAAAGTAAGATAGGGAACTCCTGCACCCCTTGTGAATCAACGCATTGCGTCAGACGGCTCTTTTGGCCTATCATTCTGGGCCAAGGCTTCACTGCCAGGTGGTGCAAAGGCGAAGCTCCGAGTCAGAAACTAGCCACGGACAACTTTCAACTCGTTCCAAGAGGAGATGGGTTTCTTGCTCTTGTCAGGGGAAGTTGGGTGCCCGCATGCCGTCAACAGACTAGCAGGAATAGTGTCAGTTGCTCACATCAGCTTCAAAAGTCCTCACCAGTTAGCAAGCCTCTGCATGTCGGCACACAGCACCAGCATGACTTGATTCGAGCGCAACTGAAGCGACTTGTCCATTTCCCATTGGGGGGCGCTGTTTCAGCATTCCAGGTTTGGCTTCGTGGTCTGCGCCCGGGTGTTTTAGTAGCAGCCCTTGCCGCAGAAGCGCGCTAACAATCGCCTCAAGGGCCTGAAAAAGAGCCGCGTCGAGAATCAATTGACTTTTGGTTCTAAGATGGCTATGAAGGGCACATAGGCGGGTCTTGATTTCGGACCCACAAAATGGATGGCTTTCCTTTTGGTATCACTTTAAAGTTTGGTATCGCTTTAAAGCCACCAAAAAAAGGATACCAACAAAAAACACGCCATACATCCCTTTCCATGACCCCCAAACTAGGCGGTAGAAACTCTCAGAATTGAAGTTTTGGGTGCTGCTCAAAAAAGACCTCCCTGCCAGGTTGCTTTCCCTCAGGCGCAAACAAAATGGGCATGGTGATGTATCCCTCTACTCACACGAGCTTGGGCAAACCCTGTCATGCGCAATTGTCCACGTCACCAAGCCAGTCCGCAATTTGGTGAGGATTGGCTACAGCAAAGCCTATATCGCAGCTGCTGTCATGAAATGCTCCAGGGTCGTCAAAACAAGGCAATGATGTCCCGCAAACCTGACTTCATCTTAGAAGCAATTCTAATCACTTGAAAGAGATGGCTTCGAGATGTCTGGAGTCAGCGATACTTCAACTTTCTACCAAATCAAGCTCTAGCCCCTCCGAAACAGATCCGTTCCGGCGAGCTCGAAAACCCTCTCCAGTTCTGAGTTCGCTTCGGAGATGCAATGAAGACTTGGGACACCCTTCCGGGAACTAAGACACGTGGCGTAACCACTCGGTGAACCTTCCTATTCAAGGGACCGGTCCGGACGAAAGTCGGACGCAAAGAGCTCAGACCGCGGTTTTTCTGGCAGCGAAGCCTTTTGATCTTAGGTTCATTCTTCTCAGGCTTTTTTGAGATAGGTCCTAAGGGGGACACCCCAAACTGATTGGTTTGCTGTTGGTTGCACCACGGAAAAGGGAGTTCCCTATTTCTCAAACGGGCATTGGATCTTGGTCAGCAACCCCCCCTTTCCCAATGATACATTGGTGTGTGAGTTCCTACAACATGGTCAACGGGGAAATATGGAGCGTTGCTCCTATCAGGCGGACAACTCCGGCAGCTTTGTCAACTGGCTGTGGGTCAAACATGCGTACCCAAAATGGAACCCTGGTAAATGGAGCCAAAGACTAAAACATACCCATTTCCCCTGGTGGTCTTATGTTGACCCGTACCCAACTCCCGTTGCCTGCCTCCTGACCATCAAGGTTGCCCACAAGGACGCCACAGGGCAGCGCAGGGTGATCAGCAGGTCGTTACTGAGCTGTTGGCAGGTCCCAGCTAGGGGCTGGATTCCCCATTCCCTTCACACCCTTCGTCTATCCAATGAACAGGTTGTTGTAGGGCCCTATTACGGCCTGGACGATATTCGTAAATCATCCATCCACTTGTCCTTTCTTGGAGGGTAATCATGCAATTGTGGCCTAATAAACGCACCGGACGACTGTGGGTGCTGCTTGAATTTCCCATAACAGGATCTAGCAGGAGGGCAAAGCACCCTACAAAACATCGGAAAGGCTAGATACCTGGAGGAAGCACCGGGTAAATGGAGCTTTGGGTCAAAACATTTCTCGCGCTGCTGTTCTCTCAGGGCTATTTTGCACCCCAGACAGGAGGGAAGGATACGAGAAAGGCCCTACAAGATCCCTGCGACAAGGCAAACCCTTATGTGGCAAACCAACGCAACCAAATAGGAACGTGACTTGGTTTACTTGAGCGCTTCCTTGGGAAGCAAGCGGACTCGAAAAGCACAAACCCCCACCCATCCGCCCGCCTACCCACCCAGGTACGCAAACAATATTTCCTTTGACATAAAGGGAGGCTTGATGCACTTAGAGTTCCCCCCCTGGAGACATTTCCAAACAGCCCATATTATTTCTTCAGAAATCAAAGGCAGTCATTTCGGGGGGTTCACGCGACAAGCCCAAAAAGGGAACTCGTTGAGTCAACAATGGGCGGTTCCCGGCAAGTGCACAGCGCCTGGTCGCTTCGATGTCCTTCCCTGGATGTGACAGCAGCTGCAAAGGCGGAGGGCCGAGCCTCAGTGACCAGTGAGGCGAGCTCACACTCTCCCCAAGTCGGGACGCCGAATCTGAGTAAACCATCAGCTTCTGGACTGGGAGGAAGCTCCGTTTGCGGGGCTTTGGGCACATACATCCCTAACAGGTCCGCAATTCCAGCTTGCAGGTTCCTCTTGCTGATCGATCCCAAGGGGCAGAACAGAGAGCAGCCACCTTTTTGGTTGCCTCAAACTCCGGTTCTGCAGGCAAAACTCCGACCTCACATCCCATGTCCTGAGCGCGCCGCTGGGGCCTTGAGTCCTGCCAGATGGGCTTTGTCTCTTTCAGGAAACCGCAGGGTTGATCCCAAGCTCCGGTGAGCATGGGGTGACCATCACACACCACACAAAAAGATGATGCTCACCGCTCAATGGGACAAGGTAGCCCATTTCAGAGGCGGATTTCCCGAACCCCCCCAACCCCCACAACCTCGGTACAGCCCAGTTTCCCAAGTCAAACATGTTGAGTTTTGCCAGCCCCAACCAAGTCTGAAGGGCTTTAACAGGGACACCGGATCCGAAAAGCAACAATCCACCCGCTTTCCATTTCCCCAGCCGACTTCCCATTTTATTGTCTTATTTCGTTAGTTGCAAGCCTGGTGTTCCGACGCGAGGTTCAACCACAAGGAGACCCGACGCCACGGCTATGGCTTCGGGGGCTTTGAGGTAAGAAAAAGCTAAATCTGGTCAAACAAAGTACTCAACCAACCTCCTTTGAAACACCGGCTTCTGTTTAGAAACCTTTTCAATCTGGATTCGCACTCCCACGAAATGAAACAGGAGTGACATCTTCATGACTCTCTTATGGCTATGGCTCAAAACCCCATACCCCCAGTGAACATCCCAATCCCCACTAAAATAGGTTCTAAAATGGGTGGTGAATTCACCTACCCCAAAATGGGATCCCATTGGTGTCGACCCACAGCCCCCTCACCCCCCCTGGCAGCGCCTGGGCCAGCTGTGCCTGCTGCAGCAGCTGCCGCATTTGCGCGGCCTCGAATCGAAGGGCGGCTGGCAGATTGGACAACTCCCCAGTCGGCAGTGGGTCAAAAATATTGTAGCCCCAAAATGGGAACCATGGATTAAACCCTTCCAAAGCAGTAGACCCAGGTAAATGGAAAGGACATGGGTACAGGTAATGGATTTGCCATGTCCATTGGCCTCAGGCAAATGGAAACATGGATTAAACCTGTGGTCCCATGGTGTTTAATCTTGACCCACAGCCATTTGGGTTTAGTCCAGGTCGGCTTGCAGATTATTGTTGCGCACCTCACAACTTGCACTGCCTTCAGCTACCTGGCCCATTGCGGTATGCAACAGCTGCATTCAACAGCTTAGTTGAACTGGAGTCATGTCACAGTGAGCCAGCTGTAGATATAAAGACTTGAGAGCACTGTGAGACACGGACAAGACATCCGTCCTAGACTACGACTAAATTGCATTTTCTTTGCTTTAGGCTCCCTTTTAAGACAAATTGAGGACGCCCCGCATCACTTGTTACCCCAATAACTGCCACAATCAAAGGCACCCCAGTCATGCCCTGCAAACCTCTTCCCAGTGCTTTTTCCACGCTGCGGTGCTTCTTCCACGCCGGGGCAAAACCTGGTTGAAGGCTCAATGTAATTGCATCTTTGCAAGGCCTGAATAAGCAAAGTCCTGAAACAACGTCCCAATGGATTTCTAATTCCAAAACCTGAACTAAACAACTTCCGGCGAAAGAATCCTTCAAAGGCATCCCCTTCACATATTGGCTTGACCGACACAAGCAGCTGGTGGCTCGATTCAACTTGCTGTCGAGCTCCGGGGGGGCCGTCTCTTCAGAGTTGATTAACTTTTAGTGGGTTAAATGGAAACCCACGCTAAACACTAAAAGGCTAAAAAGCTAAGGGACCGGATGGCTGGGAGCCACCAAGAAATATGACTGAAACACTGAATCACCGCACATGCGCCGCGAGCAGGCATTGTATCACAGTGCAGAGTTTTTCTTTCTGAGTGACTCCTTCCCTGGTATCCGCCTTTAGGGGAAAGTACAAATGTTGGACTTTCATAACCCCCGCCCCCGCTGGCTCCCGGCCAGATTTGCGAATGATTGCATGCGCGTCCTGCTGGAAACTTGGATGTTCAAAAACGCTAAAAACACAACAGCTACTGGATCCATTGGGGGATTGACAATGATTGACACGTTGCTCATCTAACTTCACACCGCGGCTCTATCCCTGCCTCCGCCAGAAGCGCTTTGTCTGCTTCACACCTGCACGCCAGGAACAGCATTTATGCAAAGCTGCTTCTGCTTGCATGGGTTTGGAGCTGATTTGGAGGTTGTTTGGGGCTGATTCGTCCAATGATTCAGACTTGCTGGGTGATGTCCCCAGCAACCGTCTGGTTTTTCAGGGCACCCGCCCAGCTAAGGCTGTGATTTGCCTGACCAACCAAGGCCAATTCATGGTCAACACTCCCGGCCCAATGCCTATGGCTCATTTGACTCGTCGCCTGAAAACCACCTAATGTGCCCCTTAAGAAGTCGTGCCCTTGCTCATGTCAGCCGGTGCTAAAAGATCACGGCCCTGACACGAGTGGACGGTACTCTTTGAGAGCGTCGCTGCGCCCTGGGATGATGCAGTCGCTCCGCAGGTCGCCCTTTTCTTCATGCTTGTTTCCCAGGTCCCCAGCACAAGGAAGCCTAGCAGCTCTGAAACGATCTGTTCAATTCTCCGTTGCTTTCTGCTCCCCTGCCAACAGTTTAACTTTTAGTGGTCTAATGGAAAACCCATTAGTTGGCAAAAAGTTAAAGTCCTAACATCCAAGCAAAATGCACCAAAGAATTCCCGCCGCAAAAGCTGAAAATCATTTGGTCGCTTCCGCCTGCGGAAGGGCATGAACTCGTGGAAGATGTTCAGCTCGCTCCTGGCCCCACACAGACCTGGCCGTGGGTCAAAAATGGGTGCCCAAAATGGAACCCTGGTAAATGGCCACAAAGACGAAAACCGCGTAACCCTAGCTCTGTAATTTTGCGCCACACACACCTGGCAAAGTGAAGCGAGAAGCTGTGCGGGGATGGTCGGGCTTGTTGTCAACAAAACAGCGGACCGGGAAAATCTGACGGCCGTGCGGCATAAAACCAGCCACAAACTAGGGGTTTTGCTGGTGTTCCTTTGGCTGCTTTCTTGGAAGTCGCTAAGGTCTTGGTAAGAACAGCTTCCAGGTAAACTCAGCCAATAGACAAAGTGAGGATACAAAGCATGCTCACTCACTGGGTGCATCGATACCCACACTCCCACCTATTTGTTGACATCGAAAGAAGAGGAACCAAAGCGGCACCCACAGGGAGCCCTGCGCGAAGCCCGAAACCACTGGATGGCAACCTCTTGCTTCATTTGGTGTATTTTAAAATAGGGGACCCAACAAATGGCGTGTTTCCTTGTTCCCCTTCAAAACCACTCCCAAAGGGACCATCGCAAAAACACAACCATAAATGCCAGGCCGTGTACCAACAAACGCACTGCCTGGTGTGCAACTGCCACTTTTGGCGGCCACTTCTCTTGCAAAACAACTGGACTGTGTACCAAAGCATTATGAACCTGGGTACTCTGAGCATAGGCCACGCTGCTTCGGAAGATGCTTGAGACAAGACCCATGCAGAGCCTGTCGGTCTCATTGGCAAATAGGGTCAAGAATTGCCCAGTGTACTTCGGCGACCTGCAATCTTGTGGGATCAACAGCGTGCGGAAAGGGCGGCTCCGTTTGTCAATGGCCAAGTCCACACTCAAGTGGCGCCTGAGTGTTGTGGAGCAACCCCAAAAAAGTCGAAGCCAAGCCTCCAGGACCCGCTCCCTGTGAGGGAAACCGTTTGACAAGAGTCGTGTTGGAATCCAGCGAGCTCATTCCTTTCGTAGGGAGTTTCACCCAAGACCTGGAGGACGATGCCCTAAGGCCCTACGTCTCTTAGGGGGAACCAACACCTGACATCCAAGTAGCACTGCGGCTTCCTATGTCTAAACCACGGGTTTTGTCTCACGCAGTTCCCTCAATGGAGCAACCTGAGGAAAGCAACGCCAAAGCCCATCCCTTTGCACAAATCCCCAAATTGGTTCTTTCACCCGATGCTGGCAGCATTCAGCATATCTCATATCTCCCTAGTTTCTTCCTGCAGCCATCTCTCGCGCAACTTCTTCTGACCGTGGCACTAAAATGTATCGTTTGCCGGCCAGGGGTCGAGACACAAGGGTCCTTTTTTCCCAATTGCAGTCCATATTGACCATTTACTTAGTTCCAGGAGACGCTAAAGCCAGAATGCGGAGGGCCATAAATTCATCCAGTGCCACCCTATTTTCTGGGAGGGTGGACGCAAAGTACTCGATCTCTCCGACTCAACCTGAGTACTCGAAAAGGACCTTGCAACGCGTCAGGTGGATGCAGAGGCCATCGGAGTCTGATCGCGCTTCTCTTTTTTGAGGGTCTCCTTTGCTTGGTTTGAAAAAATGGGATGCCAAGAAAGGACAGATCAACCTACTTTGGGGCCCCCTAACAAAAGAAGAACAAGCACGCCAATATATATATATATATGTATATATATCAAGAAGGGGCCCAGCCTTTTCAACAGGAAGTGACAAGATATCCATCCCGACCCTTCAGGGCCCTTCAGGGCCCGAGCCTGAGAGCACCACCTGATCGAAACTCTCACGAGCCATTGGGCGGGAGGGGAGTTGACCCTTTGAAGAGAAAAATTGGACACATCACTACACCCTGGCTTTCTTCGATTTGAAATCGACAGACCATCTGCTCCAAAGAAGCTTACGACGTTATTGACGACCAATTTGTGGAACCTCAATGTCATTGCTATTTGGCTGTGGTTGTCAAAACCAATGAGATCCCATTTTGGTTGGTAGGTGAAATCACCAACCATTTTAGAACCGATTTTAGTGGTTGGATTGAATCGGATGTTCACTAGGGGTACGATTTGGATTTTGACCTATGGCCACATCACAACACCCCCTGGCGGATTTGAACCGGGGGCATATCCCACATGAGAGGGGATTGTCATCTCTCACTTTCCCCCTTAGCTGCTTTGAATTAGGGGCATAGGGGATCGTTTTTTTTTGGAGGAAATACCCAACTAAATTCGTTTGGTGTGTGAATTGACGGTCAGTCGGGGAAAAACTCGGAGAACTGTTTCGTTGCAGCCAACTGCAAACAGTCGGTCTGCCAGACAGTCGATCGGTCAACAAAACATAGAAAACGGCTGCCTAAAAACTGACTGTTCTTGCGTCAAAGGCTGAATATGTGAATGGATTCCCGAAAGCACTCCTGACCTCTGGATGGAATGGGCCATAGGTCCCCTCCAGATGGCTCGTTTCACATTGGTTTCCTTTGAACCCGGCCCAAAAGCCCATGTCACAAACTGGAAGCGAGGGATCCCCAGCGCCAGTTGTTCGGCCATGTTAACTTGAGGGATGCACCAGCCCTATCCCGAAACACCACGCTAGAAATGCTGATGTGTGCAAAACCCTCACGCACTTTTGTGATGACAGAGCTCACCGGGAAGCTACATGACAACAAGCTTTGACACGCAGCCATTTCCCCGGGACGAAGCGACACCATCTCACAGGGAACCGAGGAATGTCTGGTTCGAGAAATATGGCGGGGAGCTGCTCAAAACTACATAAGCCACCGCCAAGACCTGGGTATGACAGAGTCTACCCCAAAAACCTGTGATAAGGAATCACAGGAACTGTTTCTTCCAATCGTTGGGAATGCTCCCTCGGCCTTCAGTTCCCCATGTATTGTGCCTGACGGTGCGTCTTGATGTGCCTCCCGATGGCATAGTAATTCGGCATGTAAACTTCGTTTGATGGTGACTGTGCCCCATGTCAGACACACAGTTGATGATAGTAAGATATTGACAATTGCTCAAAAACGTTGTGCATCAACACGCTGCCAATGTTTAATTCCTGAAAAGCTTACCCGTAGACGAGAGACTTGCTTCTACCTGCTTTCGATGTGGAACGCTTTGCGGGGGTTGCTTTGAAGCCTTGCCTTCTGAGTTTCATCCTTCACTTTTTGGAAGTCCTAACATCCCTTGGCAAAATGCACCAAAGATAGGGTATTTCCAAAAACAGGAGGTCCTTCTTGCAGAGTGACGGGAAAGCGCTGCCATGTGCCGGGAATGCACGCCTCGAGCTGCAGCCCAGGCTGGATGCGCAGCTCCGGCCTCAGGCCAGAAGTGACACCGCCAAGGGATACCTTTCCACCAGCGAACATCCAGGACACAGGCCGCTTTATGAGAACAGGCCGCATAACCCAGAGAGTTTCAGCGAGCTTATCTTTGCGAAGCTCTGGAAGTGCACAAACCCCTTTGTAAAAAGACCTACTTTCCTCTTGGTTAGTTGGCCTACTTGCACTTCCATGTTAGTTGGTAAAGAAAGCCTCGCAGCGTGGAAAGGGCTGATGCTTCGGCACGCGAGAAAAAAAATGTGTGGCCTCCGATTTTCGGCTTTCTTGGGCACCTCGTTTGAACAGAGGTACGAGTATTGCAAAGGAAGCGCTCGCCAAAGATTCGGCACCTGTTATACCTGTTGTATTGTGATTTGGCCTATTGGAGTTCTTCGAGGTGCGCGGCAGAAACCTCACTGGGGAGCTTCGTGATAGTGACAGGGAATCGTGTCACATTTTTTGTTTATCTTTCAGCATCCAACTCGACCTGAAACCGACAAGATGCGCCTTGACGTCAATTCGCGTTTTATCATTTCTTGTAGAGTCCAATACGGGTGTTTTGTTTGGGGGACGTCCAAAATAGGTCCCTTCAGCCGACCACGAAAAGGGCATACTCGACAAAACCGATCCATACGCCTCCACAAACCAGATAATTCCACCGAACTTGGGAATCATATTCTGTAGAAAGACCCCTGGATCCACACCACATGAAAGCTTTTTTGCGGCCTAGAGACACCCAAATGCTTAGGGTGAAAGCACTATTTAGTTTGGGCTAAAGGGGATGACTGGAATCAAAGGAGGGGAATTGTGTCATCTACTTTCATCCAACTGCACTTGAACACTTGTGACACCATGAGCCAAGTGCAAGCCTCTTCCGTAGACATCACTCTTCAGCCGAAACTTTGGTAATCGCCATCATGTCAAGCTTTGGGTTTTCCCAATGACTATCATCCGTCCCCAGCTGCGTTTCGATTTTTCGTCACAAGGGTTTCTGAATAATTGTTCAACGTCACTTTGCAAACCTTAGATGTCCCAAAAGATCCCGCCCCATTTCTGTTGCGGGCACTCTTTCATGAAAGTCCTAGGTTTGGACACAGATTTTAGAATTGAGGCACAGCCGTTGATATCTGATCGGGCCAAATCGTTCAAACAAAAAACAGCAATCTGTTCTGTGCAAAAAATGAAATCTCCCAAAGTTGAAGATTTCGATACTCTCTGGAGACTCTACTTTTATCATTGCAACAAATTGAGGCTATGCAACTATCCAGTTGCGTATGACCAAACTGGTGCAATCAACTTCTGGGCAACTTGGCCCAAGTGGCAGGCGCTAAACTACATATTCCTCATGGGGCTTGAGAAATGGCACGAACAGTTCTGGCATACCTTAAAGAGGAGATGTACACTTTAGTAGTTTAGGGGGGATCAAATGATTCTTCGACAGGTCGTGCTTGTTTAAGCAAGTGGCTGGTGCAAATCTGGGGCGGGGAAGTAAAGCCATGACACATTGTCTTTTGGCTTCCTTTTGGGAAGCTGGTTCTGTACTGTTTACCGCCAACACGCATCCCCTGACATCCCACTGAGCCCTTGGGCCAAAAGATGACGCAACAGCCTTCCCCACGGCAGTCCACCGCCATGTAGAGAACACGCACCTGGCGGCTCGAATGTCGAGCAAACATATGCAGCCCTCTGAGATAAAGCCTGGCTCTTTAGTGGCTTATAGGCTAACGATGGTTGGGCTGACCTCTTGCTTAAATGTATAACAACTTCCCTTGTTTGAACCAATTGAGTTTTGCTGCTAATGCGGGCCAGGGGTGTGTACAGCCCCAGAAAATGTGTGGCATAGGGAAACATTAAGCGCCACCCACATTCATCTGAGAAAAGCCTGCAGTAAGTCCACCCCCGCCCCTGGTGCAAGGATCCTTCATCATAGGCGGCAGATTTGGCGTGGTAAAATCACGGGCCTCTTCTTGTCGGTGATTAGCAAAGACAGTCAAGTGCAAACCAAGCAGATGAGCAGCGCCCACCACCCCTTGACTTTTCGTTCTACCAAAATGATTTTTAAAGGCTTCCTACAGTCAAACAACAGTTTGTTCTTCTTGCCTCACCCCTTTATGAGAGAAATTATCGGGTCAGCCGCGGGTTGAACTAACACGTGGCAGGCGTGAGACGGTCAACTCTCACACTCTTCCAAAATGGACCTCGCGCATCTTCGGGGGAACGGCCTCCTTCAAGAAGCGCAACTTTAGTCAGTGCGGCAACAGCATAGTGTTGCAGTGAGTGTAAGCTGACCTGCCTTCTGGCATTCAACATCAATGTGCACAACAGAGGTTGACAAATGCAAGCGTCTCGTGTTCATGTCTTCTGCCCTCGGAGCGAATTAACAAGTGCATTTTGTGTGACAGGCGTGGGAGGGTCAATTGTCACACTCTTTCAAACTTATTACAAAAAGGCTTCCTGAAGTCCCAAATTGACCTCGCGCAGCTGTGTAGGTCTGCAGAAGGATTCTAGGGGTCCCGAAAGCCGTGCAATCGCGACCTAGAAGCGCAACTTTTGTCTGGTTGGTGTAGGCCTTACCAAAAATCCCAATGAACAACTCTCACTTGCTGAGTGGATGGCCCAAAAAAGTTCAAACTTTATATTTACCACTAAAATGGTCTTCCCAAAAAGTTTAAAGTTCATGAACAAAGGAAGTGAGAACTGGAACCAAGTCATCAGGGCGCGGCTCTGTATGGAAAGCAAGGAACTCTGGAAGCTGTGGAAGGTCTCGGTGCCTCCTGCAGCCGTTCGGCGACCTCCGCACCAGACCTGTGCCAGGCAGCGTTGGAAGAAAACCAGACCTGTGCCACGTCGGAAATGTTGGCTTGAGCCCACCTTGAAAACAAATCCCTTTTGGTTGGGCTTTCTTTGGGTCCGTGCGGGAGAAAGGTAAACCCCGAATCTGAACCACTGGTTTCAACATTCTTAAGACACGAACAAGGCATTCCTTCAAAAGGATTCGTGGTCTCAATCGTCAATAGGTTGACCTAGGACTTGGGATCCTGACAACTTATGTTGCCAAAAAGTGAAGGATGCCCCTGTAAAACGGCGTGACTCCCTGGACAATTGCTTGCCCCGTACTGCTGCTGATACACGCGCCCTACCCTTGACATACCATATTGCGTCGGGAAGGGAAGAGAGTGACTTAATGGCATGAATGGGGGATGCATGCCATCTACAAGTTTGTCCACCAACAACTAGTGCGCCTCAAGCAGCCGTCAAGTTGATTGACCCTGCATGGCTTTGCCGAACTCATGGGTTCTAGGAGCAACCCATATATTCGTCATTTGCTGCAAATTAGAAGCCGCTTGACAGAAAGTTGTTTGCGGAAACTCCGCACTGTGTGAAGAGACAGGCATCATGATACGCAATTGACTCATGAACCAGCTGCCAGTAATTCACAGCACAATGCTTTGGTAACATGGAGACACCAGGCTTGGGAAGCAGCCGATCCTTTCGATTCAAAGGCTCATTTGAAAGTCGCTGTGTCAACCTCCCAAACACTGGTATATGCCCAAGCATTCTACAGCCATTCTGGATCTCCCACGAGCCAGAATCGCAGTGAGCAAACTCATATTTACAGAGGCGATCTTTTGCGGGTACCCCCTTTTGGAGTGGTTTTAAAGGAAGCCCATCGAAACATCGCCACTTTCCGGTCCCCGAAAAACGACGAGCCACCCACCAAACTGTTTGGAGCCACGTCCATGAAATTGAGTCACCCGGGCCCCATGAGCCCCACCCCAGTTTGGTTACCGGTTAAGCTGGTTGCCAATTTAGCCTCAAGGCTTCAAACCTCGCTGCCAATCCAATTGTCAATTTGGGCCAGGGTGGGACATGGAATCCACTTCTGTGATACAAAAAGGGCTTCCCAAAGACTAATACCCCAGAGGGGGGGGATTCCCTTGTATCACAGTGGGGAAAAAAACCGGAGAAACCCCGAGTGATCCCACAACCCTGACATTTGGGGTAACTTGAAAATGGTCATGCCTTTGGATCAAAGCACCAAGACCAAGCCTAGGGCTTTGGATCTGGTCCGGTGGCATCACTCTGGCTGAGCGGTTTTGAAGCACGGTGTTCGAAGCGTGGCGCACCACGTGCAAACCTGCTGACATGCAACCACAGTGCGTAAGTGAACCGCAACGTGCCACAAGTTTCTTGGAAGGCAACTTCTACACCTCCAGTATGAGCAGGCGCCATGTGAGGCGTGTTCGAAAGCACCATGCCCCGAAACTATAGCCCTGGCGACCTTTGGTGTTCCAATTGAAAGGGGATAACAAAAGAACACAAATGGGTAACATCGGCATCCCGTTTTTGAACCAGCGACGTGGGCATTGCACCTCGTTTTTCCTATGGCTTCCGTTGGCCTCGTGGCCAAGCTTACACTTTCGGGGCCCAGATTGAACAAAAGGACGACAAGGATTTCTATGGAGGGTAAGTTCTGCAAGTGGCCGAGGACACAATCCCAGTTTAGCAGCACTGACTCACACTTCGGGTTCACCTTTTTACTCACCCTTGAGGAAATGATGGGACCCTTTCTGTTTCGTGTAGAACTCCTCTTGGATGGAAGGGGTCTGTTCCAACAAAGGGGGGGCAAACGTGACGGAGCTTCAAACGCCTAGCTCAGCTGACTTTCCTCACCTGCAGTTTTTTGCATTCCTCAAAAGTTGAAAGTTAGCTTTTGGTCGTGAAACTGGCTCCCAATTCCCAGGTATTCTGCACTCTCGCCACTGCCTGTTGATGCGAACTTGCCACACTCGCACGCTGGTTGCTGACCTTGCACACAGGGGCACCGCTTCTCGCGTGCTCCTTGCGGGTACTAGACTTTCAAAAGGGGACTACCGCCACCGGGTGATTTCCTTGTGGTTTCCCCTTCTTCGCCAGCCCAAAGAGGTCCCTACTTTCTCTGACAAAAAACACAATACCACTCGCTTCCATCAGAAGCAGCTGGTCAACAAGATGCACAAAGCAAGCCCTGTGCACAAACCAGTGATGTACAATCATACCACCCAAACAGCCGTTGGATAAGCGCGATCAAATGGCCTTGGCACGATTCGTAGTAGTGTGTGAGTGTTTGCTTTTGTTGCTTGTTTACTGATTTGTTTGCTTGTTTGGTCATTGTTTGTTTGCTTTGTCGTGGTTGTCTTTGTTTGCTTGCTAATCATTGTTCATTTGCTTTGATTATTTACGAAGTAAAGGGAGCTACCCAGTCTCCGACTCTCCCAACCCGTGGACAAAAAAGGGGGCAACCTAAGCCCTTCGCTGCTCTGAGGCGCTGACGTAGGCTGGAACCGCAGGGCGTCGGGCATGATCTGGCCGTGAGTTTGCTTCACTGCTCAAAAGCAACAGTACATACATGTACAGCCCAAAGCCGAAAAGTCCAGTTGATACAGCGAGGTGGCGCTTTTTCTCGGCCGGGAAAGCAGCGCTGAATCTGGCAAGCACTGCCAGGCATGCCGACGCTTTGTTCTCCAATCCGTTTCCGGGCGTTTGTCCCTTGGCCCGCGCCCAAGCACAGCTCACCTTTGAACACCGAAAGCTGGACCTCTGGCCATTTTTTGGGTGTCCATGGAACATCACATGCAGATCAGGTCGAGATCTGCATCTCAGGCCTTTTTGAGGTCTCAGCATTTTGTTGAACGAAATTCGCTCCGTGCTCAGTTTACACGTGTTTGCACTAAAACCCGGAGGCACACTCGCTTCAAACACAGTCGACAAAGGGTCCACTGACCTGACTTGGGTATGTGTCAAATCATGGGTTTGTGCAGAAATGACTTGCCGGAGCCTTCCAGATCCACTCACGTGCAGGCCATACCTCCCGCTATTGAATCAGAGAACATCGTGGGGGAACAAACAACCATCACACGCACACACACATTCAACACGTCGCGCATTGCAACAAGATCCTTGTTGAGTGTGAGCAGAGCTATTGGAACCTGTCAAAATGGCAAGGGCCCCCGAAAGGCCCCTCCTCCAAATCTTTGGGCCTTGAGCAAGTCTCCCAGGCCCGCAAGAAAACAACAGTTTGATGTGGAGGAGCAATACTCCGTTGCTTTCTGCTCCCCTGCTAAAAGTTTAACTTGTTGTGGTTTAATGGAAAACCAATTCGTTGCCAAAAAGTTAAAGTCCTAACATCCAAGCAAAATGCACCAAATAATATCTGTTTGACAGTCCCTCCTTGGCCGAAGCTGCCGAGCCTAGTGAAAGTATGAGGTTATCGATACAGGGAATTCATTACGTTGAACTCAACGTTGACCAACTTTCCAAGTCCCCTTACATCACACCAAGGTACGAGTTGGCCCAACGCTGATTGTTGTCAACCCTACATCCTGCAGCCAAAGGGACACAAAAACTGGGACCTACGGCACGGGTCAACCTTGCGAATACCTGGCTGGGGATGCATTTTGCCCTCCACTTCTTTTTCTCCAAGAAGGAACTTCTCAAAGCCAAGTCAAGGGTCTTCATACCAGCACATTTGGCCATACCACAACGCTTGCTGACAGACGTTCGCAAAATGCTAGCCCATGCAGAACTATATTCTTGGCTTTTCTAATTGATGGTCGGAGATTGTTGCAGAGACCGCCCATAAACTGCGTAGAACATCGTAGAACCATAACACATGACAACAAACTTCGAGTCAAAATCTCTCTCCTGGATCTCTATGTGCTTTGACGACTTGGTCTTGGAACCCAATGCCCAACTTGCCAAGGATGCTCTGAGCGCAGCCCCCTGTGCCCCAAAAACGCGCCAGAGGCACCGTCCAGGGCATGCGCCCTGCCGCGATTGCTTCAGTTCGAAGCTGTGGGCTCTGTGGACCAACTTTTCGGGGTGACAGGGGACGACAGCATCCTAGATATCAGCCCTTTACAAAGCCTAAATGCACCCCAAACAAACCCAACTCTGAACTTCCAACGAATCCAAGCCAATTGGCAGCCCTAGTCCGAGCGAGGCCGGTGATGCTGAGGATGCTGGGGATGCGGCCAACTAACCCAACCCGCAACCTAGCCAACGAGGCCCCCAGAGAATACCGCCTGTTGCCCCCAACCTGAGAGTGAAGCAAGGGTTCCCAGCCAACCTCTTCAGAGCCACCTGGGGGCGGCCTTGTGCTGAGCCGGGGCTAGTAAAAAGCTGGGGCTAGTAAAAAAAGCACACCTCAACCTTTTAAAGGGAAGCCAAAAGGAACACCATTTAAGTGGTTGCCCTTTGAGAAATACCCATGTCTTCACTGGCTCCAGGCTCGACCTTCGGCCCTTCTGCCTGCGGCTCCCAAGCTTTTGATCAGGATGCATGGTGGGAACTTGGATTTTAGTGCCACTTGCTGCACTAAGAGAGCATTCGAGTGACGATAGTCATTGGCAATTCCGTGTTTCGGCACACGGGCTTCCCACGATGCCCCCCTTCCATTGGCTTAAGAATATGTTCTATTTTACCTTGTTGGTCTTAAAGGGAACTTATCACTACGTACTGGAAATATGTTTATTTTTTCCACGGGGCTTGAGCAAATGGAAGCGCCCAAACCAGCCCGGAGCAACTGATGCTGGGGATGCTGGGGATGCGGCCGACCCCGAGCCGGGGCTAGTTTTTTCAAACAGGTTCCCCTTTAAGAGTACCCCCAAAAAGGGCACCCATGGCACCCTCAAAAACGAACCCGTGAGGGCTCATGTGTCCTGCAACTAAACTCTCCATTCCCCATTTTCCCATTGTGAATGTAGCAACGGGGCAGCGAAACAAACACACACACACACACACACATTGAGTGCCCCAAATGGTGGGCTTTTCTTTTGGCCTTATAAAACCAAACAAAAAGGGGCTCTTTGAAAAAGACGCACTCAACATAACCCACGCAGGCGCCTTCCCGGGCCGCTTCCCTTGGACAAACCGGGCTGAGTCAATACCAAACAAAGGGCTGAGTGATCCCGGGGCTTCCCACGAATGTTGACCCATTAATAAACCCGTCCCATTAGGTGTTCCCTCCAAAAGTGGTCTGAATCCCCACGAAAAGGGGACACCCCCCAATCAAAATCAACCAGGGGTTTAACTTCGTCCGCGGTTCCCACTAGCCTCAACTCTTCTTTGGGTACTGACTCTCGGGTCTTTTGAAGGCCAACCACGTAATTACCCACGATCAGTCGTCGTCGAGGATGCACATTTTCGGGTTTCTGGAAAGGGACGCCAAACGCAAACCACCCACTTTGAGTACTTGACCATTTGGCTGTGGCTCAAAATTCAAGAGCGAGGGTTACGCGGTTCTATTCTTTGGTTCCCTTTACCAAGGAGCCATTGTGGTACATGTGTTTGATCCACAGCCATGTGGACTCGAACCCTGCCACCGCAGTGAGGACAATGCTTTCGCCCAACGCGCCTTCCATAAGTGCCATGGGCACAAGGCCGGGAGGAGGATAGCACACCTCAGCCGTGGCGAAACAATGCGTGGCTAATCCCCGGAAGCTTGGATTGTGCAAAGGGAACACGCGGCAACCAGTTGGATCTCCAAAAACTTACTTGCTGTTTCCCAAGCCGCATCCAAAAGCTGTCAAGAAAACTCCTAAGCCACAATACCCATTGGGAAAACCAGTACAAGGGGATGTTCTTTCATTTCGTCAGCCAAGTTGAAAGGATCTTACGAATTGCCCAGCCGAACACAAGAAACAAGTTCAGGAGGTTGTGCCCTGCGACTGCGATATTTTTTTGGGGGTCGAGGTAAGTCCCTAAAACGTCGCCGCCGATTTCAGGGGTTCCGCATGAAGACATTTTCCACTTGGCGCCCCGCGGCATCGATGCCCAGCGCCTGGCCACGGCCCCATCCCCAAAACGAAAGGGGCTTTTCCCTGACACAAACACGGAGCTTTTCCCAAAATTAAGGGACTCATCTTGGTTTTCTTTTTTTTCCTGGTCGTTTTTCCTATGGAAAACAAACAAAACCACATGGTCGTTTTTTTCCCGGTCGATCACTCTCCTTTTGACAGGTCGTTGTCCTCTTCTCCCTTTTTGGGGTGTAGGGGCCGGTGGTTGGGGCGTAGGGGCCGGTGGACAAATCGACCAACACCCATCCGCTGTGTGGCCTAGGGAATCACAGGCATCACTTTCCCCAGGGACAGCTCAAGCTTTGGGAACGCAAGCTCCAAAGATCGGCTTTGGGCAGACTGGACCAATCATGGCAATGGCTTAGATTCCGAGCACTGAATTGGGACTTCCACTTGAGATGTCCGACGCCACGCCAGGCTACATGTGGACATGTGTCAAAACAAGGGCCCTTCTATTGGGCTTGACTTCAACAGGGAACCACCACGAAACCTCGGAAAGGGTTGCTACTTCAAGGCATATCAAGCACATTGATGCACATTGATGCTGATTCATGCAAAGCATGCACGCGAAATTCTACCCTTGCACCTCTCCGATTGTGTATCAATTGGGTGCAGCCAGGCAATCAGGAGTTCACCACCTGCTACTTACTTGTCCAGTGGCAACGAAAACAAGGAACCCCTTTTTGGAGCTGCTATTTTCGCAAAGAAACCTGTAGCACAAAAGAGGGGCCATCACTGGACAAAAGGATAAGACATTCCCACGCCGGGCTAAGAGTCTCAGACTCTCTCCAAGATCTAGATCAGTCCGACCAAAACACAATTACACGAGTGTGCTATTTTCTCGGTTAACTTCATTTTTTCTTCAGATCCTCAGGGAGTGTACCGAAGCATGGAAGACGAGTTTGCTTCACCGACCCCGGCCCAAAAACCTCGCCTCCAGGTGGACCGGGTCACCTGACACGTGGCAGTTGCGGTCAACCACCCCGCAAGGTCTTGGACCACGGTCTAGGAAGGGCTTTTCAAAGCCGGCAAGGCTACTACTCAGAAACGCAGCTGGGGCTTACGCGGGGGCTTACGCGAAGCTTACGCGAGCCTACGCGGAAAACGCCCAAACATTCCCTAGTTTTGCGTTGTGTAGTAGCAAGGACAATATTGCTTTACAAGGCCCAATGGGTAGATATGACAATGAGAAACACATGGATATGACAAACAACATGACTGAAGAAACACATATGATATTCCAAACAACATGACTGAACAATAGCTTACGCGGAATGCTTGCGCGACATGTTTTTTTGACAGTTGCTTACGCCGCCTTACGCCCGTGCAGGTTTTGCTACGCCACGGGTCGATATGACATAGTCCCTGATCAACATGTAGACGGAGGTTTTGGACGTTGCACAATTGGAAAAATATCTTGGGTGGGGGAAGTAAACCCTGACATGTGAGCAATGGTCATAGCTCAAGAGGATCCCTGTGATATCCCCGCGCATGTGATCATCCCTGTACCTAGCAATGGCTTGTGACGGCCCACGCGAAGATGTGAAGCAAGATGGAACCAGTTTTGGCTCGTTGAAAGGAAGCCACGCCAAGCGTTCAAACACATCGACAAGCCGCGGGCTTCGACACATCTCGCACGATGTTTTCTTTGCCCACCAGCAAGGTAAGAGCAAGGTAAGCGCAACTCTTGCCCGAAGGAACCGGAGGGGTCCAGTTCAAAGACCCTTCGTTTCCCAGAATCAACAGGAGCGCGTGTCACCAAACAGGCCCTTGCTGCTTGCAGCACCTGTGTCAGGGTACCTCAAACTCACCTGCCCTTTTTGTTCGTTTCGCCTGGAGAAAGGCTAGCGCTTGTTTCGTTGTTTTCCAGGAGCCCAGTAACTGGGGGACCCCTTTTGTGTGGTTTTCATGGGAAACCAAAAAGGAACACCACCATTTGTTGGGGTCCCCTAAAAGCAGACAAACTCTTCCCTCTTGTCCGGTTGATGTTCCTCTCCTTAGGTAAAGCATGGGTCCGACCAAAAAACCCTAGGACTCCTTGGTCGAAAGGGGACTTCTTTCGCAATACCCTCTTTTGGGACCGTTTGCGAAGGAAGCCAACAAAAAAACACACCACAAAGCCCTGGCAAAGGTCCCTTCAAAAAGAAGGCAAACTTACCCCATCTCAGTCATAATCAATACCCGGTATCAAAATGGTCTACCCGGAACCACGTAAAGAATTTAGAAGGCGGCCGCAACTATTTATAGTTGGGATTGTCCCTTACTAACGTTCTACCTGGGTTTTGATTGTGGATCCTGGCTGGGGTGTTGTTAGAACCACTTGCTGCTAGCGATGATGGCGCAGCTCAGCTAGCATCTCAAAAGGCTCATCTATGCATTTCCCGGGAGTTCCTTGCCACCCAAAATTTTGGGTCAAGACGAGCGCCAAAAGCGCTAGCCCGCCTCCCTCTTCCCAGGCCTCAAGTTGGAAAGTCGGACATCCAAAGTCGTGGGTGACTGAAGTTGAAGTAACCCCAACGGAAAGCAAAACGAAAAACACACCTCAAAGACGTGTTGTTTGTTTGACGCCTAAATCCATGAACTTCTCATTTTTCTTCTTTCGTTGCTGCACTTTCAAACGGCGTTTTGTTGATTGTTTTGCGAAATGGTGAAACAAACAACAAGGGAAGGGTTCACTGCCGAAGGCTCCCCAAGGCCAAGATGGGAACAAGCGAAATGGGCAGGTCGAACGAGCCACTTGGAACAGGCTTCATGCCGTTGTCATTTTGCGGTCCAAAAGGGATTCATCATTTTGACATGGCCACATGTCGCAGAAACGAGCTTTTGAGTCACTTGTCAAACAAGTGCCGCTTTGCCTTCTTGAAATCCGGAATGGTTTCCATGGCCCGTGGGGGTCGAAGCGCTCGAAGCTTCTGACCGCTGGAAACCGACTGGGCCCTCCATTCCCGGCTGCTCTCATGGGATGCTCCGAGCGTGCATCCAAGCCGTCCCGAAACCTGGAGACTAGGACAGCAAGTCGCTTTGGGCCTGTCGAACGTGGATGGTGCTCAAAGGCAAACCAAAGGAAAAAGTCTCCCTGACCCTGACGAAGTCCAATTCCACAATCCTGACTGAGATCTTTGAGAAGCACCTAAGGAAAGTCGGGTGTGCACGGTGTGCACCATGGCTTGCACCATGGCTCTTGCGTTCTATTCAAGGAATCCACTGCTAATCTTCCTCGGTGCCCGGGCCGAACAGCTCGAGGTCCAAAACACGCAGGTGTCATCATAGCGCGCCTCGCTTGAAGGGATTTCCATACTATACTGAGCACTTTGAATTTGTTTTTCCCGCTTCGAGCAACACCCAAAAACGCTCAAATAACAAAAACAAGCTCAATGCTCTGGTTTGTGTCTGCCAATTTCCGCTCATTTCCCGCTGGTTTCTGCTCAGTCCCCGCCGATTTCCGGGAGACCACTGGCCAAGGTTTCCGCTCATTTCCATTTTTCCCGCTCAAAGTCTGAAAGGAGCAACACGAAAGCCCAGACCCCAAAAGTGACCAAACGGAAGACCTAGGTATCAATAGGACGTTTTCATGAGTGAGCTTGGATTTCTTGAACTTGGTGAATCTGTCACTCTGGCAATCATGAGGCCATTCAAACAACACAGCCAAAGCCGCATTTTCCAAAAGGTGAGCTCACTACAAAGAAGCCACGGACAATATTCGTTGCGTCCCAAACTGACATGAGATTTCAGTCGGTGTGCCCCATGTCACTCCTTGCTATCAAGTTGACCCCAGCTCTCCTCTTGTTACAGAAGGCAAGAGGAAGAGATTCTGGGCGACTACGAGTCACACATGGCCATGGGTCAAAATCCAGTACCCCCAGTGGACATCCCAATCCCCACCAATATAGACTAAACTGGGTGGTGAATTCACCTACCCCAAAATGGGATCCCATTGGTGTTGACCCACAGCCACATGTCCACCATCCAACATGCAGTCACGGATCGAGTCCTCAACTTCGCCCCTGAAGCACGGCTCTGAATGTCACGACACCATGATCTTGACCGACACTGACGTATCTAGGCCCAAGACTTGCCCGAATGAACATGGCCTGTCCGAGAGTGACCATCCACCCTTCCCTCACCGTTAGGAATTACTTAGATTGAGGAAAAGCTCGATCTCTATATCTCATGATCCCTTCTCTCACCTCTTAATCACATCCTAGATGCAGAGGCATCAGGAATGTGGCGAGAGGCGGGGCTCTTGCAAGTTCTTGCTTCGTCTTGGAGACTTTTGCCCTCCCTTTGAGATATTTTGAAATGACTTGCCGCCACAGAACTTTATCGGGTGCCCATGTCAGTGCAGCGATTTCACTCCTCTCCGTGTTCGAATGCCATACGCAAGCCAACAGAAGCAACACCATATGACTTAGAGTGAGTAAGTGCAGTTATCATGTGTTCCAATGTACTTGAGAGCGTAGACGAATAAGCCATTGTCGCGAGGGCAATGGTGAGGCTGTTGCGGCATTGAAGGTTCCGCAGATTGAAGCATAGTTTCGGTGTCCATCTTCGGCTTTGCGAAAACAGGACACCGTTACACAACCTTGCAATCCGAAGGTGTCGAAACTCGCTTGAGCAAGGCGTGGGAACACAAACAAGTCAGCAACCATGGGGGCTGGCTGTCATTCCTTTTGGCGTCTTTTTTGAACAAGCATAGGAGTTGATGACCAAACCTCTGGCACCAACCTCAAGTAAACTCGTCTTTTGGCCATGGCAAAAACATGGTGGCGTCTTGTAAGGGTAATTACCCTTTTGGAGTGGTTCTAAGCGGAGGTTCCCTACAAAAGACACCCACCATGCGTTCTTTCGCAGCCAGCCTCCCCGCAACCTCCCGTCCGGGCCCGAATCCGGGGTTGCACGCTGCTGCGAAGCTGCGCAGAGAGCAGCTCAGCAGCGCGCGTCGGGAGTCCAAGGCGCCTTTCGAGGTTCGAGTGTTTTGGGTTGGAGCCCTTGGGCCAATCCCTAGCTGGTCCTCCATTTGCCTTTGTCTCCTGGAAAAAATAAATATATTTCCAGCAGTGGTAGATTTCTTGTAAACCCAACAGGGGCAAATAAGAGCAAATAAGACATATTCTGGTAAATGAAAGTGGTACCACTGCTACCATAACTGCTACCCCACTGCTTTCACCTCTTTCAAACAACTTGATTTCGACTCCATTCAACTTAATTGGAATGGGGCCAGGGCCAGGTTCTTTCGTTTGTCAACAAATGCCCCACCTGCTGGATTGGATGGGTGGGGGCTATGCAAAACACCGGGAGACCCCGCGAATGAGTTGGGATGGATGTCTAAGGCTGATGTATGGACGAGGCGTCCCGGCATACTTTTCACAGTTTTCAAGTGGTAGTCATTGCCCATCGGAATGGCTCGGATACGCTAAGAGTGTTGGGTCAAATGGGTATGTGCTCGGCGTCCGCACCTGGTCCTCAAATGAACCGTTTTGGCATCTTTTGACACACTCCCAGTTGAGCACAGAGGAAAACGGTCAGGATCGCGGTACCTCTTCGTGTCGTGCAGAGCTGTGCTTCTTTTTGTCGGGCATGCGCAAAAACTGGACCCCCGCTTTTGATGGATGTGGGATCAACCTAGTTTGTGCCCCCCTCCCCTTTGAGACATGCTGATCAACTCTTGAACCGGCATGACTGGAGTTGCAACCAGCAGAAAAACGCTCCAACTGGTTTGACGGTAGCCTCTCTTGGAAATCGCAACCCCACTTGCCCCGTGGTGTCCCATGGGCAAACAAGGGGCCTGCGGGGTTTTGCAAGAATCCCGTGCGACCACAAAAACCACATGCACAAAAAAAAACCAACGGGCACACCAAGGTGGAGGGGTCCGGGCTTTTATGGCGCCTCGACGATCCCCCCAGATGGCATTGAGGCCGAAGTGCTGGGCCTGACACCAGCGGCAAAGGGTCAGACTATCAAACTGGACAACAGTGGAAAGGGGCGCGGCCGCAATCCAAAAGGACCAAGAGAGATCCTGAAGATTGCACATCTCGAAAGGACTACTCCGGGGCAAAAACCTCTCCGCGGCTCTGATGCAATGGCATCCTCAAGGGAGGGTGTAGAAGGGGAGTCGGTACTGATGGCCTTTTTGCTGCTTGGGCTTGTAGAGAAGCCTAGAAACGCGCCCTTTGACCGCTCTTTGCGCACTACCTCACTTTGTGCTGTGGACGGGGGTGCTTCTGCCTGACAGGGGCCTTTGAAAAGAGGCGTGAATTCTGATTGCGAAATCTGGCTTTATGAATTTGGGAGAAGGCAGGCCCCCACAAGGATCAATTAAGTTACACCGGCAACGCTAGGATCGTGGCTTGGAAGTTTGGCATGATGGCAGATGAGTTGGCTTCCATTCGTTGAAATATGGTTTCTTCGGCATCTCGGCGACTACGCGCTAGAAGACATCTCAAGTAAAGATGCCTGGCTCGTGCCTCATGGCAGCCGCAAGGGATGCATCACTTTGCAATTCGGAAGGGACGCGCTGGTGCAGTTCTAAATCGGCGTGTGACTACCTACCATTTTTCGTATTTGGGATGTGTACTGGAGTGGCATAGGGTGAAAGTCCCCAAACACGGTGACCTTGAAAAACACAATTGTTCATCCTTTTTTGCATTGGGCGACTTTTGCAGTTCATCAGCAGGTCTCGAGGCGAAGCTTTTGATTCTTGACAACATGGTTTTCTGAAAATTGGCTCCTCCGAATCACAATGCAGGAGAAGCAGCCGGAGTGTCTAGGGTGCAAAAAAATGCCTTTTTCAAGACCTCAGCTGGCAAGTCATCTTGCCAGTAAGAAACAAACATACAAGGCTTGCAAAGAGCAATAGGACGACGGGGTAAACTATCCTCAGAGACACCTGGCAAGACTCCGCTGGCTCCTTTCTTGAAGTGTAGTGTGCATACACAAAATCCTGCACCAGTTAGGATAGATGAAGCCTTATGACCCTTCTACCAATTGGTACAGGATTTGGTCCATCCAGAGTTCCAGCCCCAGCTGCTAACACGACCCAAGTGAAGATTAAAGATTCCTCGAGGGAAGCTATAAACATATTGTCAGTTGCACCCCTAGCATCTGAGTGAGTGCCCTCGTTGTATCATCAGACTTGATGGCTCTCCATGAGTTCCAGACATCTCGCAGGCGGAGCCAACCATAAACCATTCCTGATTTGTCCAAGGGACCTGGAAACATAGGGTCAGTGCCACAACTCAGACGGTTGCTAAAGCCAAGAAGATCGGTCGATTCGCTGAACAAACAAGTTCGTTTGGAGGCAAGACTGATCGATACTTGTAGGAAGCCAGTGCTTGCCGTGTTTAACCCCTTTTTGGTTGAAAACAAAGTTGGATCCCTCCCACGTGTAGAAACCCCCGTACTTCACCTCTTATGCTCTTGCCCCTACGCAAAGACACACATACACACAACAGTTTGCTGGTTCGGGAACCTGTTCACAAACATTCAAGGCTTAAGATCCAAGCAATCAGCGGACTTTTTGGCCGACTGCAATTTTCCTGCCTGCAGTGCCGCATGCCTCAGAGCCCAAAAAGCTTTTGGGTCAGATTCGGTTTGATGGCTTTCTGGGCTTCCTGCTCAGGGGAAAGAGGGGAGCAAATGCAAAATGGGCTCGATCCAGGTTGCGATCTACGTGCAACCACACAGTATGTTATTTCCCTTAAAGTCATGAGTGCCTTTGTTACTTTAAAGGGGCCATTCCTTTGAAAAAAACAACAACAAAAAACGAGCCTATTCGCAGGGGTCACCGGCATTTCCACAAATCACAAACTCAATTTCTGGCTTCCAATGATTTACTGCCTCTTTTAGATGTTCAAATTTGGACATTGAGAGACCTCTATAAGGACGGCTCTGAAGGAACCAACATCGCTGTGGCTCAAAATTAAACAGGAGGGGTTTCGCGGGCCTTGGTCCATGATTCCACTTACCAGGGTTCCATTTTAGTACCGGTTTTTTGAGCCACACCCACATGCCACTGACCCTTTCAGGCAGTTTTGACGCACATGCAACGAGTTCCTTCTCTAGTCTTGCTAATGACTCCCGGCCACATGCAGTGTATCTGACTTGAATGCGCTTTTGCCCCCAACACGAACTGCTTTTGGCTTGCTGGAATCCGTCAGGGTCAAGTCCAAACATGCGCCATATTGAAGCTCTCAAACTCCCTTTTCAACAAAATTGTCCTATTCCTAGCTTGCTGGTGCATTAAGTAGGGACTGAGACATGGAATGAACCTGGAGATTCCCGAAGAAAGGAAACCACCAGTTGGATGGTTTTTCTTGGAGTCATTCCCTCATTTCCTACTGAACACCAGCACGAAATTCGGGGGGGAGTGTTGGAGGCTCCCAAGAGCTTGCTCTCGGGTGATGGACTCAACTCCAGGCTCCTGGCTTGGGCTCTCGTCGCGGAGTCTGGGCAAAGTGCCGACTTGGGACGAGTTGAGAATCCTGGAGTTGACATCGATGCGGTTGCCGTGCTTGGAAGAACTTTGGGCATTTTTTGCACCAGTGAATTGACTGCCGTGCTTGGAATGGGTTGACTGAAGTTGGGAAACATTTTTGCCCCAGTCCCTGCTGCAGATCTTTCAGCAGCCCACAATACATGACCGAAAGTTGTGACTGGGGGTGCCTGAGGTCGAGGCAAGGCACCAAAAGTGTCCAGAAAACAGACCTCCAGCCCCAGAAAAGGGTCACCCAACGGCAGGACCTGCCAGTCTTTTTTCGGCTGGTTCACTCCAAAGGGACAAGTCCCCCCCCAAACTGCAAGCTCAAGAGTTGCCCGGCTCCCGTTTTTGCAGGAAGACACGCCGGACCTGCAAACTATTTTTCCACCAAAAAGAACATGGGAACGGTTCTCCTGCATACATCCTTCCCCCCACAAAGAGAGTATGCCCTCCATGCGTGGGGACAACCAAGCCGAAACCCGCCTTGGCCTTCTCCCGCTTGGGAGCCTCACGGGCCTCAAACAGAGCAAAAGCAAGACTCAACCAGAGGGAATCAAGTTGACATGGAGCATTGAACCGCATTCTGAAACTTCAGATTGAATAGGGAACACATCAGAACATCCGGATCACTGGGGGGAATCGCCGCATCTATCCACCAGGTTTCTTGATTCGGGGTCAACCCATGTCAGATGCCAAACATGGCCTCGCTCCAATTCAGATTGTAACAAGGAGGACTGCACCTAGTGGAGGGATTGCTGTAGAATAGGTCATCTCCCAGCTATGAGAGGAAGTACTGTACCTCTGGAGAAGTCATCAATCCAGACTCAACCCTTCTTTGCCGACAGGAAACCTTCATGTGGGAACATATGGCTGTGGGTCAAAAACGGGTACCCCGAATGGAGCCCTGGCAAATGGAACGCGTTAAAACCTGGGATCCCCTGGTCTAATTTGGACAACCACACCCACATGCTTGGCTTCCTGTTGGCTTCCTGTTGGCTTCCTGTTGGTTTCCTCGGGTTTCTACTGGGTTTCTCCCTGTTTGAAGTGTACGTTCGGCGCCCAAGCCCCCGTCCCGCGGCGATGAGGTCTGGGCGTCCAGAGCAGCGGGGTCCAAGTCCCAAAAGACCTTGCTGGGTGCTGTAGGCAAGAAGGGGGGACGGGGGGAAGGGGGGGGAGGGGGGGAAGGGGGCAGAGTGGGGGGGGGAGGGGGGGGGAAGGGGGAGAAGGGGGAGGGGAGGGGGGGAGGGGAGGCGGGGAGGAAAGGGGGGAGGGGGGTCCATGGCCGCGAGACAAGCCTTCATTTTTGGCCGTGGGCCACTTTTTCTTCCCGCTTCCTTCAAATCGCAAGCAAATCGCGATGGAAGGGGAAGCCACGGCA